AGACTCAAAGTGAAAGGGTGGAAAATGTTATTTCAAGCAAATGGCATTCAGAGAAAAGCGGGAGTAGATACTAACATCGGATAAAATAGACTTCAAAATAAAAAAGGTAAAGGAAGATAATGAGGGACACTTCATAATGATAAAGGGAATCATGCACCAAGAAGACATAACACTTATTAATATCTATGCTCCCAATCAGGGAGCCACGAAATATGTAAAGCAATTCCTAACAGAACTAAAGGGAGAAACAGACCAAAACACTATTGTAGTAGGGGACCTAAATATCCCACTGTTAGATATGGAAAGATCATCCAAACAGAAAATCAATAAGGAAATAACATCCTTAAATGACACATTAGACCAACTGGACATAATTGACATTTACAGAGCTTTCCATTCCAAAACAGCTGCTTATACATTCTTTTCTAGTGCACATGGAACATTCTCAAGGATTGACCACATACTGGGACACAGAGTGAGCCTAGCCTCAACAAATATAAGACATTTGAACTCATACCAACCATATTCTCTGATCATAATGCTTTGAAATGAGAGATCAACTGCATAAAGAAATCAGGAAGAACCACAAATACATGAAGATTAAACAACATGCTACTGAAGAATAACTGGGTCAGAGAAGAAATAAAAAGAGAGATCAAGAGATAGAAACGAATGATAATGATAGTACAACATATCAACACTTCTGGGACACGGCAAAAGTCATAAGAGAAAAGTTCATGTCATTACAGGCCTATCTTAAAAAACAAGAACAAGCAGAAATAAACAACCTAACGCTTCATCTTAAAAAACTAGAAAAGGAAGAACAAATGAAGTCTAAAGTCAGCAGGAGGAAAGAAAAAAATCAAAATTAGAGAATTAAATGAAATTGAAAGCAAAAACTTAGCCATTAAAAAAAAAAAAATGAAATCCTACCATTTGCAACGACATGGATGGACCTAGAGGTTATTATACTGAGTGAAATAAGTCAGAGAAAGATAAATACCATGATTTCACCTATATGCAGGATCTAAGGAACAAAAAGAACAAACTAATCAAAAACAGACTCACAAATCTAGTGACAATTTGGTGATGGACAGAGGGGAGGAGGGTTCGGGGGCTGGGAGAATGGAGTGAAGGGTTAAAGAACTAAAAATTAGTAGTTGATAGTAGGGCATGGGGCTGGGGAGCATGGCAGAGGGAATACAGTTAGCATTAATATGATGGCTAAGCGGAGGGCCAGAGAAGGGAGGGAGCAATTGGAGGGATCGTTTTATGAACTATAGAGATGTCTACCAATGTACTGTATACTTGAAACTAATTTAAATCAATTTATATAAAAAAATAGAAAATATAAAAATTAAATGCAACAAAGAGCTAGTTTTTTGAGGTCAATAAAATTGACAAACCCCTGGCTACACTCACTAAAGAAAGGACACAAAATCAAGAAAGAAAGAGATGAAATGATGACAGACACTGCAGAAATACAAAGAATCATACAAGAATACTATGAAAAAGTATATAACACCAAATTTAATAACCTAGAAGAAATAGACTAGTACTTAGAAAAATACAATCTTCCTAGACTGAATCAAGAACTGGAAAATCTAAATAGAATGATTAGCAGTTTGGAAATTGAAACAATTATCAAAAACCTATCAAAAAGAAAAAGTCCAGGACCAGATGGCTTCACCCATAAATTATACCAAACATTCAAAGAAAATTTAATACCTATTCTCCTCAAACTCTC